TACCGCAGCACGAGCTCCTTGCCGTTGCGCGCGACGTTGCCGCTCGGCTGGGGCTTGCGCTTCAGCATGCCCAGGGCCTTGTCCAAACCCACGCAGAAGACGCGCGCGTCGCTGAGCTGCGGGCTCGCCTGCGTCATCTCGCTCAGCAAGGCCTCGGCGTCGCGCGGCTCGAGGAAGATCACGCACTCCTGCGCGCCCTCGGCCTCCTTGTTCAGCAGGTAGGGCGACCCCCGCGAGTTCGCGACGAAGAAGGCCGGCACGGCGCCGAGCTTGTCGGCGAGCGCCGCCTCGCGCCCGAAGGCGACGGCGCTCAAAGGCTTGGCCAGCAGGGCGGCGCCCGCGGCGCCGGCGAGCGCGCGCCGCGGGCCGTTGCTCTGGCCGCCGAAGCGCCGCGGCAGGTTCATGGCACCGACGACGGCGACGACGAGCACCGATCGCAGGATCGCGCGCATGGCTGCTCTGTGCGCGCGCGGCGACGGTGGCGGCGAGCAAGCTCTTCAACGAGTGCTCGGCGTCTGCAATTGCGCAAGCAAGGCTATGCGCGCGGCGCTCGCAGCCATGCTCGCCGTGCTCGGCGCCGCGCTGCGGTCGCCGCTGCGCCAGACATCTCACAAAGCACTCACATCGCTGCGCGCCGCCGGCGACACGATCTACGCGCTGTCGTCCGGCCGCGGCGTCGCCGGCGTCGCCGTCGTGCGCGTGAGCGGCCCGTCCGCGAGCGACGCGCTCGCGGCGCTGACGCCGGGCAAACCACTCCCGGCGCACCGCGTGGCGTCGCTGCGCACGCTCCGCGACGCGTCCGACGTCCTCGACGAGGCGCTCGTCCTGCGCTTCGAGGCGCCGCGGAGCTTCACGGGCGAGGACGTCGTCGAGCTGCACTGCCACGGCGGCGAGGCGACGGTCGACGGCGTGCTCGAGGCGTTGGACAATATCCCGAAGCTGCGCGCCGCGGACCGCGGCGAGTTCACGCGGCGCGCGTTCGCCGCGGGGAAGCTCGGCCTCACCGAGGTCGAGGGTTTGGCGGACCTGCTCGCCGCGAAGACGGCGCCCCAGCGGCGCCAGGCCCTGGCCCAGATGGGCGGGTCCATGGAGCGGACCTACGCGCGCTGGCGCGGCGAGCTCGCGAGCCTGCGGGCGTCCGCGGAGGTCCTCGTCGACTTCGGCGACGACGTCGAGGGCGACGTCGCGGACCAGAGCGACGACATCCGCGCGGCGCTGGACGCCAGCGTCCGCTCCCTGAAAACGGAGCTCGACGCCGCGCTGACGGACGCGCCGCGGGGCGAGGCGACGCGCGACGGCGTGCGCGTCGTCCTCGCGGGCGCGCCGAACGCGGGCAAGTCGTCGCTGCTCAACGCCGTCGCCGCTCGCGACGCGGCGATCGTGTCCCAGGCCGCGGGCACGACGCGCGACGTGCTGGAGATCGGGCTGTCCCTCGGCGGCCTGCCCGCGCGCCTCTTCGACACGGCGGGGCTGCGCGTCGACGGCGAGGAGGACTCCCTGGACGCGGTCGAGGTCGAGGGCATGCGGCGCGCGGCCCGGGCGGCCGAGGCGGCCCACGTCGTCGTCTTCGTGCTCGACGCCGCCGACGACGACGCGTCGGCCGTCGCCGACGCCTTCCGCGCCATCGCGCCCGTCGGCG